AGCCAGGGGGAGGCGGGCGGGCATGCAAGCACGACCACCTCGCTCTGATCCTTGGCACAGCCCGGCCCCCCCTCCCCATGGGTCCTGAAGCTTGCCCTGGCCCCCCTCCCCCCCCCTCCCCGCAGCATGGAGCAGGTGCGCGCCCTGGCGCCGCTGGACGACCCGCTGTCCAGCCTGCCGTTTGTGCACGAGACGCTGAGCACGCTGCGGGGCGAGATTGGCGGGTCGGGCGCCGCGCTGCTGGGCTTCGTGGGCACCCCCTGGACCCTGGCCGCCTACAGCGTGGAGGGCAGGGCGGAGCGCAACTGCCGCCGCACCAAGACCATGATGTACGGCAGCCCGCAGGTGCTGCACGCGCTGCTGGACCACCTGACCGAGGCGCTGATCGTGTATGTGGGCTACCAGATCGAGGCGGGGGCGCAGGTGGGCCGCGTGCGGCGTGGGGGCGGGTGGTGCTGGTGGTGGTGCTGCTGGGGTGGATGGTGGTGGTGGTGGTGGTGGGGACAGGGCTGCAGGGCCGCGCATGACGACCGCGCCTTTGCTTTGCCGCGTGGTGCGCGTGACCCGGCCCGTCCCGTTGTTGCCCGCCCCTCGCTGCCCTGCCCGCAGGTGGTGCAGCTGTTTGACTCCTGGGCCCACCACCTCACCCCCGAGCAGTCTGCCGAGTTCAGCATGCCGTACGCGGAGCGCATCATCGCCGCCGTGCGCGCCAAGTACCCGCACGTGCCGCTCATCTTCCACGCCAACGGCGGCGCGGGCAAGCACGCGCAGCTGGCGGCGTGCAGCGCCGACGTCATCGGCCTGGACTGGGAGTGCACCATGGCGGGGGCGCGGCAGGCCATGGGCGCCGGCCGCACGCTGCAGGTGCGTGGTGGCGGGGCGTGGGGGGTGGGCGTACAGGGCTCAGGCCTGCACCGGCATGGCCGGCCTGCCCTGCCCGCCCTGCCCGCCAGCCTAACCAACCTGTCCCCCTCCCCCTGCCAGCCCTGCCAGCCCAACCAACCTGGTCCCCCTGCCTCCCACCCACCCCCGCAGGGCAACGTGGACCCCATGGTCCTGTTTGGCCCCGAGGCAGCGATCCGCGAGGCGGTGACGCGGTGCCTGGTGGAGGCCGGGCCGCACCACCACATCCTCAACGTGGGCCACGGCGTGATTGAGGGCACGCCCGAGGAGAGTGTGGGCCTGTTCTGCGAGCTGGCGCGGCAGTCGGCCGACATCCTGGCGGCGCACGGGCGGGCGCAGCAGCAGCCGCAGCCGGTGGCGGCCTGACCCGCCGCCAGCTCGTTCTCCTTTTGAGTTTGCTTTAGTACAGCACTATTCCTTTCGTTTTCAACCACTGCATCAAACTGTAAGGCGGGGACGCAGTACGGTCGACGGTGCCAGCGTGGCGGCGCAATTCCTGAACTCCCCCGGTTGCCAGGCACGCCGCGCTCGCCATCTCCGTTCGTGACAATACCGCCAAAGCAACATGGCGGCCCCTCCTGAGCTGGACCTGCTCAGAATGCTGCTGAGCGAAATCGATCGACTCCAAAACGCCGTGCAGCACCTGCTGCAGAGCAACGCCGACCTCAAGGTGGCCATAGAAGAGGAGGGTGACGAGGACAGGGAGTTTAAGCAGGCAATAGAGGTGACGCCTCCTGCCTGCCGCCGCTGCCGCTGCCCCGCCGCCCTTCACCGCCAGCCTGGGCAGAGCATGAACCCACTGTGCCGATGACACACCCATGCAGGAGAACATTGTGGTGATTGCCAAGTACCGAGCCAAGGTGCAGCGCCTGGAGGAGGAGCTGGCGCAGCTGAGGGCGGGGCGGCAGGCGCTGGGCGGGGAGGCCATCCCCGCGGGGGAGCGCCCCGCAGCGGCGGCGCCCCCACAGCAGCAGCAGCAGGGAGCGGCGGCGGTGGCGAGCGGCGGCGACGCTGCCATGCCAGACGCGGCAGACCCACAGCAGCTGCCTGAGCAGCAGCGGCAGCAGGCGCCAGACGGGCTGTGGCTGTGATACTTGCGCAAGGACTCCCACCGCGTGAGCGCTGTGGACGCCTGGCTGCATGTGTATACAACTCACGGTGCACCTTGCAACAAGCTGGGCAAGCAACAAAGGCTGGCATGGCACGAGCTTGCAAGAGCAGGGAGAGGGCAGCAAGGTGCCTCAGCTCCTCCGACCCCTGGCTGCCTTGGGAGCAGAGGTGGCAGCGCCGGTGCCACTGGGCCCCGCTGCCCGGGTCATGCGGCGCTGCCCTGGCGGCGAGGCCTGCGCTCCCCCCCCACCGCTGCCGCCCGCCGTGCCGTTCCTGCGTCGCCCGCTCCGCAGCGTGCCCGCCTCTGCGGGCGGCGAGGCCCGGCGCTTGCGGCTGCCCGCCGCCCTCTCCCGCTTCCCAGCCTCCTCCACCTTGCCGTGCAGCCGCCAGCGCAGGTACCTCTGCAGGTTCTTGTCGCCCACGCCCGCCAGGCTGCCGCCGCCGCGGCAGAAGATGCGCCACGAGTCGGCTACAAAGGGGCCGCAGTGCTTGAAGTCAGACGGCGACTGCCAGTCGGCTGCCAGGAAGTCGTGGGCCAGTCCCCACACCGCCTGCAGCCTCACCGCCTGCAGGCCCAGCGGCTGCAGCACCTCCAGCATGCTGCGGCGGGGGGGGAGGGGGGAGGCGCGGGGGAGAGGATGCGAGTGAGGAGGTGATGTTGCACGCGCTCAGCTTGCATTCGTGCCTCCCCTGGTAGCCCCCGCGCCGCCGCCCTGCGCCCCCACCTGTCGTCGCTGGCATCAATCACCGCCGAGGGGGTGGGCCAGTGGTCCAGGAAGCGGCGGATGGCGTGGCGCACCGCGGTGCCGCCCGTGGTGCGCGTGCACAGCAGGCAGGCGGCAATGTGCTGGAAGGGGCAGGCCTGGTACTGCTCCTGCAGGTGAGCACCACGGGGCAGCGCACAGATGGATGCCCTGGCAATGTGGCTGCAGTGTACCAGGAGGCGCAGGCAAGCAGGCGGCGCCGCCCACCTGCACGAGGTTGAGGGGAGAGACCGGCTGGCTGCTGGCCGCCAGGCGGTGGCGCGTCCATGCCGCCCAGCCGCCCGGCGCCACCTGCGCCAGGCTCCTCACGTGGTGTCCCCACTTCTGCTCTGCCAGCATCTGCCACAAATCATCATCCTGCACACATGTGATTGTGGTTGGGCAGGGTGCGAACCGCACCGGGTGCGCAGCCGAACCGCCACACCGGGTGCCACCGCACCGGGTGCGCCACCGCATCCCCCGGCGCCCGCGCTGCTCACCTTGAGGAGCTGGCTCAGTTCCTTGTTGCAGCAGGCCAGCGCCAGCACGTCTTGGACCGAGCATAGGGCGAGAACCCGCAACAGGGAGTCGCGGTCCAGGGCGAGCAGGTCTGCAGGCATCTTGGATGATGCAGGGGGTGCACGGATCAGGTGCCACAGTGCGGGCCACTCAAAGAGGCCGATCAATGCAGACTTTCAAGAGCCTGAATCGCGTGCTGCGCTCTGCCTCCTATCCTGCTTGGCCTTCGTCCGCAACTGCATTGTGTACTGTGGCCGCCGTTGCCACACCGACACACTTATCGTGAGGCCGCCCCCTCGCCTCAGTCTCCCTCACCAGCACCATGCCGTCCAGCAGCGCAATATGCGGGCCGCAGCAGGCTCAACTGCTGCAGGGCAGGCAGCGCAGCGGCAAGGCGGCTCGGCGGCCGGTGGTGGTGCATGCCAGCGCGCCGCCGCCACCCGCGTGGCCGGGCCGGGTGCCGGTTCCCGAGACGCTGCCCCAGCGCGACGGGCCCAAGGTGCGCCTGCTCAGGCCCGTGGCCCATGCTCCCGACCGCATGGGATGCCGGCGCTGATGCCCGTGAGCCTCCAGTATCAGCCGCTCCACGCCCGCACCAGTGCTTGCTCACGCCCGCGCCGCCGGCCCGCCCCCACCTCCGCCCCTCCTGTGCTGTGCGAGCGCAGAAGTTCTCGCTGCTGGGCTCCACCGGCAGCATCGGCACCCAGACGCTGGACATCGTGGCGGAGCACCCCGACAAGTTTGCGGTGACCGCGCTGGCGGCGGGGGGCAACCTGGAGCTGCTGGCGCAGCAGATCCGCCAGTTCCAGCCCGCGCTGGTGTCGGTGCGCGACGGCGGCAAGGTGGCGGCGCTGCGGGAGCTGATCAAGGGCGCGCCGCGGCAGCCCGAGATCCTGGTGGGCGAGGAGGGCATCTGCGCGGTGGCGGCGCACGGCGAGGCCGACTCGTGCGTGACGGGCATCGTGGGGTGCGCGGGCCTCAAGCCCACCGTGGCCGCCATCGAGGCGGGCAAGGACATCTGCCTGGCCAACAAGGAGACGCTGATTGCGGGGGGGCCCTTTGTGCTGCCGCTGGCCAAGAAGCACGGCGTGCACATCCTGCCCGCCGACTCGGAGCACTCGGCCATCTTCCAGTGCCTGCAGGTGGGGCGGGGAGGGAGGGGGGGTGGGGTGGGCTGCGTTGGGGCGGGCTGGGTTGGGGCGGGAGGGCACCGGGGCTAGGGCTTGGAGCCGGAGGCGGCGGCGGGGAGCGGCGGCGGGGTGCGGCAGCGGTGGCCATCTTGCTACTCCTGCGGCGCCCTGGCGGCCTTTCTCTGTGCTGACCTGGCCCTGAGCCGCGCTCCTCCTCCCCTGCCCCTGCCCGCCCCGCCCTGCGCAGGGCCTGCCCGAGGGCGGCATGCGGCGCATCATCCTCACCGCCAGCGGCGGCGCCTTCCGCGACCTGCCCGTCGACAAGCTGCCGGGCGTGACCAAGGCGGATGCGCTGAAGCACCCCAACTGGTCCATGGGGCCCAAGATCACGGTGGACTCGGGTGGGCGGGGTGGGGGGTGGGGTGGGGGTTAGGGGCTGGCGGCCTGCCCCGCTGGCGGCCTGCCCTGCCGGTGGGTGGCACCACACGTGCATGACGTGCCAGCCCCCTGCCCTGGCCCTCCCTCCCACCCTCCCCCCACCCGCCCCGCGCGCAGCCACGCTGATGAACAAGGGTCTGGAGGTGATTGAGGCGCACTACCTGTTTGGCGCGGCGTACGACGCCATCGACATCGTCATCCACCCCCAGTCCATCATCCACTCCATGGTGGAGACCGCCGACTCGAGCGTGCTGGCGCAGCTGGGCTGGCCCGACATGCGGCTGCCCATCCTGTACACCATGTCGTGGCCCGCGCGGGTGCCCTGCAGCGAGCAGACCTGGCCGCGCCTGGACTTCATCAAGATGGGGGACCTCACCTTCAGGTGTGGGGGGGGCCTGCTTGTGGGAGGTGGGCGCCTGCTGGGGCACGGCTGCGGATGGGGGAGCCGTGGGGGCATGGGTCAGTGCTCCGGCATGGAGCCCCCCACCGCGTGGGCCCAGCCCCCGCCGCCCGCCCTCCCTCCCGCCTGCAGGGCCCCCGACCACGCCAAGTATCCCTCCATGAAGCTGGCGTACGCCTCGGGGCGCGCCGGCGGCACCATGACGGGCGTGATGAGCGCGGCCAACGAGCAGGTGGGGGTGGCAGGCCTGGCACTGCGCACACGATGGCGTGGCCACTGCTGCTGCAGCGGCGCTGGCTGGTGCTGCTCCACACGGTGGTGCTGCCTCACGTGCCAGCACCCCCCTGAACCCCCTCGCCTGCGTTGCTCGTGCCAGGCCGTGGAGCTGTTCCTGGCTGACCGCATCGGCTACCTGGACATCATGCGGGTGGTGGAGGCGTGCTGCGAGGCGCACGCTGCCGACCTGGTGGCGGTGCCCAGCCTGGAGGAGATCGTGCACTACGATGCCTGGGCGCGCCGCCACGTGGCGGAGAGCGTGAACAAGAGCCAGGGGCTGGCGGTGGCAGCCTGAGGCGGCAAGCGGGGCGTCCTCGCCCAGTCTTTCATTCTCTTTGCTGCTGCATCGCATTGCTGCTTATGCTCACATTTGTTTCTCGCACGGTACTGTAACCCCCTCATTCTTGGAGGCAGTCTGACATCTCATGCCTGCATGGGTGGTGTGCCGCCGCATGCGCGCTGCGTCACTGCTGTGCACTGCCAGCATCTCCTCCTTTCCAGCGGCCAAAGGGAGATCTCTGGCCGTCAGAGGCGCCCATGCCGCTGATCCGATTGCGCTGAAAGTCTTCCACAGCCCCGCACGAGCAGGCCTTTTATTACTCGGCAAGCACGTGGAGACTGCAGCAGGCCTGCCCGCCGCGCCGTGCCCTCCTACGGCACTGGGTGGAGACTACCTAGAGGCGGGGCACCAGCTGGGCGCCTCCAGACATGGCGCAAATAGAGCCCCTGGCGGGGAATACCAAGTGCGCAAGGATCGGGCAGCTAGTGGCGCAGCCGTGGCCCGCAGCCGCCCTGCGGGGTGCCCTGGGGGGCGAGCGTCGGGGAGGGAGGGGTCACTGCCAGCTGGCGGCGGGTAGCGCCGCCGCTCCCCCTCCGTCTGAGCACCTCCACCCCCTGCTGCTGCCTGCACAGGTATGAGAAGATCAGGGATTTAGATAAAGGTGGGTGCCGAGCGGGTCACACAGCTGCCGCCGCAGACGCCAGCGCTCACTTTGCCGCCAAGTCGGCGCCCGGCGGTGGTGGCCGCCACTCCACACGGCGCTGCTCCTTGGGGCTGTGCTGCTCAGAACTGCGGCATGTGCCGCAATTGCATCTGCATGCATTGCATGCGATGCGCCCTGCGCAGCCAGCCAGCCAGCCAGCCGCCAGCCGCATGGAGCCGGCTCACCGGCCTGCGTCATCACGCCTGTGCCCCGGCGTGCGCCGGCGCCCCGCCCCCCGCAGGCGCCTTTGGCTGGGTGCAGCACGCGCGCAACCGAGAGACGGGGGAGGAGGTGGCGGTGAAGTTCATCGAGCTGGGCCCCCGCTTCTACCAGAAGTATGTGGAGCGGGAGATCATCAACCACAGGCTGCTGGCGCACCCGCACATCGTGGGATTCAAGGAGGTCTTTGTCACGCACAAGGTAAGGTGGGGGCAGCGGTGGTGGGGTGGGGTGGGGACGAGGCGGGGCAGGGATCCGGGGCAGGGGTTTGGGGTGGGGTGGAGAGCGACGTTTCCAGCGGGGATCGTGGTTTGGCCGGGTAGGGAGGCGGCACCATGGCGGGTGCGTCGGCCTGCCTCTCGTGCCATGCACCGGCCCCGTCCCACTCCTCCCCGCCGCTCTCACCGCCCCTGCCTGCCCTGCCCTGCCCTGCCCTGCCCTGCCTGGCGCAGCACCTGGCGATTGTGATGGAGTATGTGGGGGGTGGCAACCTGCAGCAGTATGTGGAGGCGGCGGGGCGGCTGCCCGAGTGGCAGGCCCGCTGCTTCTTCCAGCAGCTCATCCTGGCCCTGCAGGTGAGGCGCCGCGGGGCAGGCAGGCGCCCCGCGGTGTGCGCACGCTGCCACCCCCGCCCCCGCCGCCTCGGCGCCGCCGCGCGTTTCCGAGCCTCTCCTCAGCGCCCCCTGCCGCTGCTGCCGGCCCACTCAGCACCAGCGCATGCACGCACGCACCCACACGCGCTGCCCCCGCGCCGCAGTACTGCCACGCCAACCTGCGCATCGCCCACCGCGACATCAAGCTGGGCAACGTGCTGCTCAACACCAAGTACCAGATACCCATCCTCAAGCTCTGCGACTTTGGCTACTCAAAGGTGGGGGGCGGGTGGGGAGGTGCGGGTGTGGGGGCTGGGAGTGGGTGGGCTGGCGTGGGGGCTGGCCCCGCTTGGCATGGGGCACCGCGCCGGCCCCGCTTGGCTGCCCCGCCGGCCTGCTGCCCGCCCTCCAGCCCGCCGCCGCCACCACGCGCACGCCGCCGCCCGCCGCAGAACATGATGTGGGGCAGCGTGCCCAAGACGCGGGTGGGCACCGCCGCCTACATCTCGCCAGAGGTGGCGCGCTGCCGCGGCGACGAGGCGTACGACACGGAGAAGGCGGATGTGTGGAGCTGCGGCGTGACGCTGTACTGCATGCTGGCGGGGCGGTACCCCTTCATGGATGTCGACCACCAAGTCAGGTGGGCGGCGCGGCGGGAGCGGCGGGCGGCACGCCCGCGCGGCCTGTGGCTGCTGCCTGCTGCGCTGGCTGCCCTGTCTCCCAGCTCCCTGCCCTGTCGCGCCTCCTCCTGCTGTGCCGCGCCTCCCCGCGCACCCCACTACTGAGCAGCAAGCCCCCTCACGCTGGGCCCGCTCCCCCTGCCCTGCCCCGCCCCCCGCAGGCTGAAGAAGATCCAGGACCTGGTGCCCGCCGACGTGGACGCCGCCGTGTCCAAGCTGCCCCCCGACGTGTCCCCCGACTGCGTGGCGCTGCTGCGCCGCATCTTCTCCATCGCCCCCGCCCAGCGCCCCGCCCTCGCCGACATCATGGCCGACGCCTGGTTCCGCCAGTTCCTGCCAGACCTGTCCAAGCTGGCGGTGGCGCAGCCGCGGGAGCAGCAGGGGATGGAGGAGATCACACGCATACTGGCGGTGGGTGGGGGGGCTGAGGGTGGATGGTGGATGTGCTCGGCGGGCTGGTGGTGGTGGGCTGGGCAGCCGGCGGTGTGGCGCCCTGGCTGGGCGGGTGCGTCGCGCCGCGGGGCCTCCACGCCACCCGCGCGCTCCTGCCTGCCCGCCCCGCCCCGCCCCCCCGCAGGATGCCGACCGCCTGAGCCAACTGCGCGAGAAGATGCCCGACGACTTTGACAGCGAGCTGATGGACGACGCAGAGGTGGGGGGTGGGGGTGTGCGGCGCGTGGGGCGTGCCCCGCGCTTGTTAGCTTGC